CCTGGCAGTCTGTGCACGTAGAGCTGAAGCAATTCCGGGACACACTGGATGTGTCGGCTGACACTGCTGTACCTATTGACTCAGAGGTACACGCATCACTACCTGCTGGCCAGTCCCCTGTTGGGTCACCACCACTGTCATCACCCGGCGCTTTATCCGTGAATTCGGACGACGATAGCAGAATGTCGTTGCACGAGGCGCATAGTGACGAGGACAATGCGGCGGGGGAGAGTATCGGCACGACAACAACCGACGTCGTGGACAACGCACACGCCATCCTGGAGCAGATTGCCGAGGTGATAGCGTGGTGCGACCAGACGTCGCAACGCTTGCAGACGCAGCTACCTGACCTGGCCACTCACCGGCGTACGGAACTGGAGGACCTGCTGGACGAGTTTGACCGAGTGGTGCGGCAGCGAGAGCTACGCAAGCACGCTGCCGCCCAGCTGGAGATACGCGAGACGGTCGGCAGCCTGCCGCAGCCGTCCGACGGAATTCTTGCCGAGATGGAGCACTTAAACGTGGCGTGGTCGTCGGTGTCTCGTGAAATCGTGACCTACCGACAGGCGATCATGTATCGCCTGGAGGAGATTCAGGAGGAGAGCAACGACACAGTGGAGGCCAACCGACTGCTCAACTCAATCATGCAGCTGCGGCTGGCCGTGGAGGATCGCTACGGCGAGAGCAAGCAGGGGAATTCCCTGCATCAGCTGCGCATGCTGCATGCGCAGTGCCGTGCCGAAAGCGGCGCGCCCGACCTCGCCGCGGCCGAACGGCAGACGGCGGAGCTGTCCGAGCGGCTGAAGCGCTACAAGTCCACGCTGTCCGGTGTCTACTCCGACAACCTCGAGTCGGCTATTGTCACTCTGCAGCAGGTCATGGCCGACATTTGTGAACGCATTCTCCGCGCGATCGGCTTCCGACAGCAGGAGTACGCTCAGCTGACGAGCACGCTCGAGGACTTGATCGCGCTGATCACGAACTGCATGCACGCCGCGCACAGCGCCCTGGACAGCATACCACCGTCCTCACCACCAACGCCGTCGTCAAGAGAAGCCGTTGCAGTGGCCGTGGTGCGTTGCCACGACGCTTTTCGAGAGTCCGAGGCGTTCAAGGTGGACCTGGAGCGGCGAGCGCGCGTGTTTGCCAGCACTGAACGGGTGGACATGGAGAACGAGAGTGAGGAGGAGAAGCGTGAACTGGATGAACGCACGGTCGCCGACTTGCGTGCCACGTGCACTGACGAGGTGACGGCGCTGCACGACCGAATGGGACAGCTCACTGTTGAATGGAAGCGCCTGGTCGACTTCTGCCTGTCGCATCCAGCATCCCAGTACCGAGGTGTGTATCCGGAGCACCCCGGAGACGCCACATCGCCCAATCAGGAAGCAGCGGAGCAGCCGAAAGCCATTGTTGTTGAGCAGGCTGCCGTCATGTCTGAACCACCATTGTCTAGTGGGGAAGAGAGTCGTGCCGACGAAGCTCACTCACCGTCATCATCGACAACGGGCCTTATCTCGCCTCAGAGCGGCGACGAACCAGACGGACCAGGCGGTGATGACTACCCAACCGAGCCTTTTAGCGATGCTGCAGCAGACTCAGCTACTAGCACTGACGGCATTGTCGCACGCGAGGTCTTGACGGAGCCAGTGGCCGCTCGCCCTCCCCTACACTCACCATCACCACACAAGTCAGCAGATGAGTATTTGGCAACGGCAGCCATGACAGGCGCGTCCCCCGCACGTGATAGCAGTGGCAGTGAAGAAGAACAGAGCGCCAGTGATCGTGATGGAGGTGGATATGTTCACACAGCCCACACTTCTGCCAGCAAATCACCGGACACATCAGCACAGCCCGTCTCCAGCGTAGACGCCGCGGTCGTCGGCAGTCCCGTTGCTAGCAGAGTTGAGGACGCCACTACGGTCCGCCTGGTCAGTACCACACACGTACGCACCGCTAGCACGCCGACCGCTGATGGCAGTGCGCGCGTGCAGGGCGCGGGTAAAGACGACAGGCCCACCGCTGCCAGGAAGCTGGTCGGCGACGACAGCTTCGACGGGCCGGATCCGCTCGGTGTGATCACGCCCACGCGCTCCGGCACGGAGCGAGAGCTGACCGTGGGCCTGCTGCACATGCACGATGCAATACCACAGCAGCAACAGCGTGACAGAGTGACGGTCGGCGGAGCGTTCAACACCGGCACTGGCGCGGCCATACAGTACGCCTCGTCGGACGATCTGGTCGTGCTGGGCTACCGTGACGAGGAGGAAGACGACCAGGCGCGTACGCACCGCTTGCACTCGTTGTCGGCGACAGGGAGCGGTACGCCGTTCGCCGGCTCTATATCCTCTCTGCTGGACGTGCACATGCAGAACATACGTGTCCTGCACGTGTGGGTAGAGACGGAGACGGCACGCCTTCAAGCCGCTGACCTGCCACTGCCCTCCACGCTCCAACAGCTGGAAGAGGCGCGGGCGAACGTCCGTCGCTTCGAGACCAGCGTCATGGCGCAGCGAGCGGCGGAGCGCAAGGAGCTTGCCGACGAGCAGGCCATGTACAGAGACCTGGGCATGGTGCGTAGCAACGAGCAGGCTGTGCGTATGATGACACAGCTGGACCAGGCGTGGACGTGGCTGGAGCGGGACGTGTTCACACGCAAGAAGGCCATCCACGCGGCCATCCAACGCTGCGTGATCCCCACCCCGCCACCCGGATCGCCCGTTGCCGCCAGCGGCTACTGTAAGTTTGTCGTGACACCGCTGTCGGAAACCGCGCCCGAGCCGCCTCGCAACACTACGGCCGTTCGATGGCGTCCACCAAAGCCGCTATCTGACCCTGCAGCAGCAGCGGCGGCGCCAGGAGAAGCACCCAACAGCAAGGACGTGTTTGAGCTTGATCGGCCGCCGCATCGGCGGCGGCGAGAGCAGCCGCCTCCGTTCGACTGGAAACGCCCGCTGTACCAGCTGCTCGTCGACATCTGGTTCTCGCACAAAGTCATTGTGCTGCCGTTCTGAGCACGCTCTCGGCGCCGCGCTCACAGTTGTCAATCTAACATGGCCATGCAGAGAGACTCCACCCTGGATCATCATGCTCCTCTCTCTCTCTCTCTCTCTCTCTCTCTCTCTCTCTCTCTCTCTCTCTCTCTCTCTCTCTCTCTCTCTCTCTCTCTCTCTCTCTCTCTCTCTCTCTCTCTCTCTCTCTCCCTCTCTCTCATTTTTTCTATAGCGTGCTCAGCAAGCTCTGCTTCCGCGCCTCTGTTCCGTTTGCTTGGATACTTTTATGAACAGGGATGTGTGGACTGTGAACTATTGTCTGCCGCCCTCTGGCTTTGAGTAGCATAACAGTTAGCAGTAGTCAGTGCAGGGTCTGGATTGCGGATTCCTACTCGCTTTCTGTGTGGACGGTTTTCTACACGATCAACAGCATAATTATGTGTGTGGTCGATCTGCAGTCGTATACGCAGGGTCACTCGCAGTCATGTCACTCGTATACGACTGTGCGACTGACGTGTTGCAAAGCAGCCACACATATGCACTGGTACACTCGTCTTGACAGGTCACTGTTGTATTGGCCGACACAGCAGCAGGGTTGGTGTTGCTCACATATGGACACCATACTGACCACTGTACACACCTGAATAGCCGTCGGCAGTAGAAACGGTTGTTTTGTCAGATCAAGGTTGCCTGCTCTGTTTTTTTGTTTTAGTTTTAGTTTTCGTAATTCCATTCGTTGACCATTGTTGTTGTTGTTGTTGTTGTTGTTCAAATTTTTATTCTCACGATAGCCAGTGGCCAATAAGAGATAATAGTGTAAGAAAGGAGAAAGAGTGAGGAAGAATTGGGTGGGCAGTGCCTAGGGGTTAATGACTACTTAAGTGTATGGGCAGGGGTTGTTGTTGTTGTTGTTGTTGTTGTTGTTGTGTGTATGTGTGTGTGTGTGTGTAGTGTGTGTGTGGTGTGTGTGCGTGTGCTTGTGTGTCTAGCATAGATAAACACTATTTAAATTCATATCTCACGCTAGTCTGGTCCCGGCTATGCCGTCAATTTGCTTTCGTCGATAGCAACAAGGGTGAACCGAGCTAGGTGATGTGTTTTCTTTGGCTTCGAAGTATCTTTTCCAGTCATGCACTCCTCCATGTCATTTTGTCTTGAGTCCCTGTACACTGGATATTTACTAGCACGGGTAATTTGAACGGACCGACTGACCGACACCGATGTATGCGGGCGGTGTAGCTTTGCGTGCACAGCGTATGCATGGAAAACTGCCCATCCCACGCCCTGAGTACGTCGCGCTGATTTGATTGCATCCACGCTGCGAGTACGGTCGGTATAGAATATTGACCGATTACTCGTACCATGATTACAGTAGAGTGGCGCCCCCAAGAACGTTGTGTCCGAGGGGTTAGGGGTTAGCCTGGGACGTTCTTACTTTTCAGCAATCTGGCTGCGTTATAACGCGTTCTGAGCAACAACTCATCTGGCAGTAGAGAGGTTCTGCTATACGTGTCGGTGAAACGTAGAAAAATCATGTAGAGAGCATGCTAGCATGCAGGTGTCTGGGCTACGGCTTCGCGCGTTTTGGCTCCAGATTTCTACGCGTAGATGAGGTTCTCTACGTTGTGCCACACGCAAAGAAAATGCGTACGAATCTGCTGGGTATCATTCGATGCAGGCAGAAAACTGCCAAATATGGAAGGGGAAATTCCCAGTACACATTACACGTGTGTGTCTACGTGAATGCAGAGCAGAACAGACGTGACGGGAGCGCGAAGTGAGTTCCCGGAATTCTTCGCGTCAGGTTCCCGTAACATAGAGCAGAACCTCACTAATGCTGCTCTCAGAACCAGTGTGCGTTCGCTCACACATACACACACACACACCTTTGGACCTTTGGATGCCCATTGCTCCGTGCAATGATAGCACCAGGAGTTGCAGTATTTCCTGTGGAGAGTTAGATCGTTGGGCGGACGGAAGTCCCTGCCACAGCCGCAAATGAACACTCTAGGCTTTGGCACAGCCGGCCGGGGACGATTGCACATGAGGCACCAGTGACTGGCAGTCTCGTCTGCACACACATACACACACACACACATACACACACACACACACACACACACACACACACACACACACACACACACACCCACCCCCCCCCCCCCACACACACACAGAAACACAAAAACACACACACACACACACAGAAACACACACACACAGTGGCATACACACACACGCGTACACACACACAGTGGCATACACACAAACGCGTACACACACACACACACGTCGTTAAGATGCACATACGTAACTCGTTATTTTTAAAATGATGCGAAAGTTCAGCTCGCGTTACATACAGCTGTACCGGTATTTGGTAGTGTTGGCTCGTGCGTCGAAAAACAACGCGAGTAACCATGGTGACCTGCATGCATGCTGCAGCTAGCTCACGTCGTGGAGTTTTACGCCAAATTTGACGTGAAAATTAATAGCGCGTCACGTCGGAAATAACGTGCATCATAACCTACTGTAAAAAATTCGAATGGTTCGCTACAATAATTGTAAATAGAGAACCCCCGACACAAGCGTTTATCACAAAAGGTCATTTTTCTTTCTTACTGACCGGTTTCATCTTGTTAAAGAATCATCAGAGTGAAAGGAGAAAAGAAAATACATGCTAATAGTAGGGCCAACTCACTTGGCCAAAACTAACTATGATACAAGTGGACCCATCAAAGCCGCTGGGAGCCCAAAGAGGCGCAGGGGTAGGGGTAATTGGATTCTGATCATGAAAGCATGCAAATGTGAAAGGTGCCGTGTTGGGACTATAGTATACAAATTTTGTTATAATACAGTACACGGGAAGTTTTGGCAGTGTCCAAATTTGGACACTGCCAAAATGCAGGCATGTAAGCCTGCAAAAGTTTTGTGATTAAATAAAGTATGGAGGAAGAATGTGGAGAAATGCTAGATCTATAGTCTCTAAAAGCTTAAAAGACGAGAACGTTTCAATATGAGAGTTGTTTTGTTCTACGAAAGAAGATCTCTACGTTAGAAGTTGAGAAAGATTCTTCTAATATCGTTTTTAGGCGATTATTTGCAAAGTGAGGATGATAGTCAGTTACAAAAGTAATCTTACGTCTATCTCTATCAGCATGTTTCTTACTATTCTGTTTAGGTATAACAGAAGGTGACGGCTCGATACTTGCGAAGATGCGAGCCAAGAAACGGGGTGGATAGCCTCTGAGACGAAGTCTGTGCCAAAAACGCTCACGAATAACAAGCACATCACATAGTAATGAATTTGTCCTATTATAACGAACAAGTTCAGCTATAATAAAAGAGCGGAAGTTTGACTTTGGGTGATCAGACTTGAAAGGAATATAGAGATATGCATTTCTGGGTTTTTGGTGGGTCCGATATAACATGTGGCAATTATTCTCTGAAAGTACTTTGAAAATTTCAAGGTCTAGGAAAATGCACTCGTCACTAACGTCTGACCAAGTGAGATGTATGTCAGGAAGTGTAGAGTAGAGAGATTGCTTAAGTGTGTCAATGCAAATGCACTCATCGATAATCATAAACAAATCATCAATGAATCTATCAAACAGGTAGATAGACTTTTGGAAAAGTGCTATAGACTTCTTTTCGTGTATGTAAAGAAAGACATTTGCGACGTTTACTGCCATAGGTGTCCCCATTGCCATGCCGTGTTGTTGGTGGTATAAAACATTTTCAAAATTGAAAAAATTGTTTTCCAGAACAAAAGCAATTAGTTCGACTAAAAGGGTCCTTAAAGGATGATCAAGTGTACTAAGGAACTGATCAAGGGCTGCAGTAGTATCGGCCCAGCTCATGTTGGTGTACAGACTAACAACGTCAGCAGTAACAAGTTTACTGTTAGCTGGAAAAGTTGAGCTTTCAAGTTTAGAAGATAAACTATACGTATCTTGAAGAACAGTGTCTGTATGTTTACCAATAAGAGTCTTGAGATGAAAATCAATAAATCTAGATGCTGGCGAGGTGCAATATCCAATACAGGAGACAATAGGTCTGCCTGGGACTAAGCCTGCCACTAGTTTTTATGTATTTTCGGAAGCATATAGAATTTAGCTGGTTTGAAAGGGAAACAACTAAATAGTGCACTCGTGTCGGATTTGGAAAGAAAGGCAGAATGTTTTTTGCAAATATTTGACAATTTTGAGTGCAATGTATCATGCAAAGATTGGTTGTCAGCAGACATAACAGCATAATGTTTCTCGTCAGCTAGTTGACGAAAACCTTCTGCTAGATAGTCGTCTCTATTTAAAACAACAGTGCCAAGATTCTTATCTGCATTGCAAATAATGATATCTGTTCTGTGTTTAAGACAGTTGTATGCTGAAAACTCACTTAGTGTCAAATTATGAGAACGTTTGCTTGTAATTTTTGCAGCAGCAACACTGGAGGTAAGCCTATTACTGAAATCAAGAAGCGAATATTCGACATCTGGTAGAGCAGTGGGTGGTACTTTCTCTGAAGGAAGGTGAAATTTGCGGATGAACGAGCTATTGGACACTGGAGGTCCCATTCTAGCAAATAAGTCATTCCATCTAGCTCTACGTGTTAGTGAGTTAATATCATTCAATAGTGAAACAGAAGAGGGAAGGTACGTACTGGGACGAAAACTAGAACCATAGCCTAGAATTTGTTTTTCAATTTCAGTGAAGGTACAACGAGAAAAGTTATGAAAACCAGAGTTAAGAACATAAGTAGAATGGGTACTTAATTTTAAGTTCCAAACAAATCTTAGTCTTAAATCTCTTATCGACTTCTGCCCTTTGGGGGGCTGACTTTCCTTCTGCCAGACGAGGCCTTCACCACAAAGTTTTTTGTCTTAGTGGACTTTGGTTTAGTGGGCTTTGGTTGATTAGGTATGGTTTTCTTCTGTTGGACAGCATTCCCTTTTACTTGGCGAGCCACTTCCTTTTTAATTAAGGTGCCAATTTCTTCTGTAGTCGGTGGGAGTGCTGTGACGTCCATGGGTTTTACTGGTTGTTGTTTTGGTGTTTTCCGCTCAGCAATCTTAGAGAGACGCAAGTTCTTTACTATGTTGGTAGCACATTTCAAGCTTTGGAGGTAGTCGAAACGGTATAGGATCATGCTTGCAAAGTCTGCACCTTGCTTGTCATCCAATAGTGTTGTCACAACATCATCCATGTCTCTCTTTGCTTCGTTTGTAATTGTATTGGCTCTATCGATTTTCTGTTTACAGCTAGCTATGCCGGTGTCAACGTATTCGGTACACTCGTGAAGCCTAGCTTTATCAGACATTTTGGAAAACTTGTTCAGAATGTATTGCTCAAAGACTTGGCTGGTAGACTGAATCTGCAGTTTGTCCAATTTTCCTTGCTGTTCGATGACAATTTTCTCACTTGTAGCAATGCGGTTTATGCACCACGTCACATACCTCTCGAGTTCAGCGTCCGGTAGCGGTGAGGCGCCAAGCAGGAGCGTTGATGGAGGGGAGTCAACATCTTTGACATCATCATCTTTGACATCATCATCGAAGATCACGTCGTCGTCATCAGCAGGAAATCTAGTGCGTTTCGGTGGGCGAGGAGAGCCGTCTGTAGCGGGTTTCTGTCGGCCCATGCCGAGTTTGGCCTTAGCGGAGTCCATACCAAAGGGTTTGGAAAGCTTGAGGGAGGTCTATAACGGAACTTAAATATTGTAAATAGAGAACCCCCGACACAAGCGTTTATCACAAAAGGTCATTTTTCTTTCTTACTGACCGGTTTCATCTTGTTAAAGAATCATCAGAGTGAAAGGAGAAAAGAAAATACAAAGTGAGTTGGCCCTACTCACTTGGCCAAAACTAACTATGATACAAGTGGACCCATCAAAGCCGCTGGGAGCCCAAAGAGGCGCAGGGGTAGGGGTAATTGGATTGTGATCATGAAAGCATGCAAATGTGAAAGGTGCCGTGTTGGGACTATAGTATACAAATTTTGTTATAATACAGTACACGGGAAGTTTTGGCATCACACCACGTTCTCCGACTCCCGTTTACGTCTACGTCTATGGTGAAAAAACCAAAACGGGTGGTCGTGTCATCAGACAGGCACAGTTCTTGACGCGTACACACACTGTGTGACACAGTCAGGTTTTTGGAGAAATTTGAACCCACGTACATCGAAGTACAGGGTCGCTCGGAAAAAGGCTGGGGGAGATACGCACGTTCATACAAAAAGTCGTATACCCCCCCCCCCCCCCCTCTCCATACCACGTCCACGTCTCCCGTTTCCTCTGCTCCCGTTTTCACCCCGTATACGGATCATCATGACAACCGACCAAAAACTCCTAACGTGGACGTAGACGCAGCGCTTTGTACCATGGTGTGATGACAGCCGTACCGGGCAGGTCAAGAACAAGGAGTCGTAGACAACTCCCTGGTCATGAACCCATGATCACTGATCTAAACGGTGGGGGAGGATGTATGTAATCAAGCACGCTCAGGAGGTCATGATGGCTGCATCATGCCTGCAGCCCTCGGGCCTACGGCCCTTGGGCTGCAGGCTCGGGCAAGATTCAGCCATCATGACCAGGGAGTAGTACTACACTCTACAGTTTTTCGATTTTGACAGCATGTCAAGGCGAGGACCAGTATGCTGAATGACCAGTGGTACCGCTGGGTCGTAGCTGCTAACCACCGATGGCACCAGACCACATCAGCTGTTGACCTTCCTGCACGAAAACCACTTTGGTTCAGTGATAGGAAATCGTTTACGGCTGGCGAGATGCGCTTGAGGACTACCAGCGACATGACTTTGCGTAGAGTTGTCAGGAGGATGATCGGTCGCAGACTGGTTAAAGCACCCACCGGCTTTCCGGGCTTCTGGAGAGGTATTAGTGTGCCATGACCGATGAATGGCTCTACCCGGTGTTGCTGAAATAGGCTGTTGATGCATCGGCTTATGACGGGAGCAGTGGCATCGGCTGAGTACTTCAACAGCTCACCCGGGATGTTGTCGGGTCCTGCAGCTCTACCGTTGTTGAGTCTTGCTAGTGCTGTTTTCACTTCCTCCGTTGAAACGGGATGCTGCAGCGGTCGAGGTTCCCCAGTGAAGGATCCAAATTGCTGAATTGCAGAGTCACTGAGCTGCGATGAGAAATGATTCTTAATCTCCAAGCTTGCTTGCTTATCATTACATATGATCTTGCCCTGGCTGTCCTTAACGACGACTTTCTGCGATGGCTTTCGCCGGAGCAAGTGTACAGCTTGGAACATCTGGGCTCCATCCTTGAGCCTCTCTATCTCCTCTGCTCGCGATATTAGTTCATTTTCTCTGTTTGTGATGGATCTGTTCCTGATATCATGCAGGATTCGATTCCGGTCAGTCCTCAACATTTCTCGCTCGATTGGGTCATCACTGCCCTGAATACGGAGTCGGACATCTCTCTGCATGCAGGAAAGTCTCTCGGTCTCTGGGTCATGGTGACGATGACTGGTCTTGGCTGTCACACCCACAATCTCTTTGCCCGCGTGGAAGATCTCTGCAGCTATTGCATCCCATCCGGTGTTGGGCTGATCTTCTGACACCCTCTGAATTCTGTCTGAGATGGCAAATGTTAGCTGATTCTGCAGTTGTGGATCCCCGGGTAAACGATGCACTGCTAGGCGATCCACCTTCTTCTGGCTGCTCCGCGCCGCCCGACCCCATATGCCGAATACTCGAGGTAAAAGCGTGCGAGCCACCACAATCCTATGATCTGATGTGACTTCCGTTCCATTGTAACTTCTGGCGTTGGTGAATAGTCTCTTTTGCGATTGACGGCACAGAATATAATCAATTTGGTTGTAAATGTTGACAATCTTGCCACTGGCTCTGTCAAGTCGCTGTCCTGTCCATGTGGTCCTGTGCCTTGCAGAGTGGCAGAACGCTGTGTTTGATAAGAATAATCTGTTAATTTCACAGAACTGCACTAGCGTCTCTCCGCTGACGTTTCTGATTCCACGCCCATGGCTGCCAATACATGATTCGTCCTGCTGCTTCGTTCCAGCTTTCGCGTTGAAGTCTCCAACAACAAAGAAGAGGGAACTCGAGTCCACGTCATGTATAGCTCTGGTCAAGGTATCGTAGAATTCATCCAATTCAAAGTTGTTGTCTCTGCAGCGAGCTGACGTCGGGGCATACACATTCAGGATACTCAATGTCGATTTTTTTCCCAATTGTAACGAAATTCCAGCGACTCGGTCAGAAACGCTCCAAACTCTCTCGACTCTCGGCTCCAAGCTGCTTCTTACTGCAAATGCCAGACCATAATGACGACAGGTTGGCGACAGTGTGTAAAGAACATAGCCACCACAATACTCTTGCCTCGTTTCACAAATTTTAGTTTCCTGCACGGCACAAACATCAATTTTGTACTTGGCCAAATCACGACAGAGCGCTTCACGTTTGACTTTCGACGATAGACCACGTACATTGAACGTCGCTAAACTAAATTGGCTTCCTTCCTGTCTAAAGAAGCCCCCATCCACTAGGTTCGATAGAGACATATCCCAAGAGAGGGAGAGAAGGAGTCACCCTCCTCAGCCAGAAAAACTGGTCATTCAGCATACTGGGCATCGACATGTCACGTGCCTTTGACACGATCAGGCGAGGACAGTTGATGGACGTGGTTCAGCGATTCTTGGAAGAAGACGAGGTACGCTTGATCCGTTACCTGATCTCAGATACGAATTTGGCAGTCAGACTGGGCACGGAAACATCAAGCTCTTTCTCCACTAACATTGGTACCCCGCAAGGCGACTCCTTGTCGCCAATTCTATTCGTGATCTACCTGGAAGCTGCCCTGCAGGATGTGCGACAGCGAATGGCTGCACCTGTGGCCCGGCATCTTCCGTACGATGTGGAGTACGCCGATGATGTGGACTTCATCAGTATCTCTAGTGATTGGCTTCGGATGTTAGAGCCACAAGTTGCCACCATCTTGGGTACATGGTCCCTTACCGTCAACCAGACCAAGACAGAATTCACAGCCATCCAGCGAGAGGCCGATCGTGCTGATGAGCCATGGCGTATGGTCAAGAAACTCGGCTCTCTCCTTGGTGATGCAGAGGATGTCACCCGCAGAAAGCAGCTTGCGGCGATAGCGTTTAAGTCCCTCTGCCAGTTATGGAAGAGAAGAGACCAAGTGAGTCTGGAGGTGCGCGTCCGGCTGTATAACTGCTTCGTGTTACCTGTCTTGCTTTACAACTGCTCCACATGGGGCATCACTCGACAGACAATTGAAGCGCTGGAATCGTATCATCGGCGGCAACTTCGGCATATCTTGGGTATCAGGTGGCCCAACCGACTGTCGAACGATTTGGTTTACGAGCGCTGCAGTGCTGCTCCACTTGGCAACATTCTGGTGAATGCAAGATGGCGGTTGTTTGGCCACATCCTGCGATCAGATGAGCACACACCGGCTAGGGAGGCCATGAGTGGATTCTTTGGCTGCTCCGTGCCGGGATACCGTGGGCGGCCGCGGATCACGCTACCGGTCCTGCTGAATCAAGACGCGGAGCGAGTCGGCTGCCGTCTGAGGACTCCAAGGGACTTGCAGCTGATGGCTCAGCGAGCACTTGATCGCCGTGAATGGACATATCTGTGCAACGCAGTTACAGATGCGTACAAGGCAGAGTACTGGTGAAGGAAGTTGGCACTGCAATGGTTTGAGCTACATTCTTTGTTGATGGTACTCTGATTATCCGTATTCACATGGCCTTTGCCATTCATTCAGTATATTAATGTCATCAATAATGATATTCGTGTTTGTATTAGTTTATGTGACACCATTTTCTATTTTTCTTTGCCTGCCTGCCTGCTGGCGGCCTTTTTTCGCATGGTTCGGTGCAAGCGAATTTGGGCGAGCCCATTGACGCGGGAGCACAAATAATAATAATAATAATAAGGCCAAACTAAAGAAGGTGTGTGGTTCGACTAACATGGACATTTTTTTTACGGGCGGGCGGGCGGATTTTTTTTTTAAAATATATTTTTTAGTACATGTAAATACACTGTATACGCGTATCGAGTAGACTCTACTACCAGCACAAGGCAGCAGTCGTACCACTCACTGCACTGCACTGCAGTACAACTACAAGTCAAGTCCAAAAGGAGCCGCCTGCGTCCGCAGACTCACGCCGCACAGCACGTAGACGTGGACGTGTTCAGTCCACGTACGTCAGTCACACGACAGCCCGCCGAAAAAAAGTTACGGTCGGGCTGAAATTGTACGGTCGGTCGGGTGAGTCGAACCACACACCTTCTTTAGTTTGGCCTAATAATAATAATAATAATCAAGGCGAGGACGAAAAACACTACACTCTACAGAGTACAGTGTACTGACCAGGGAGTCGTACTCAAACTAGGGAGGTGACACGGCACAGAAATCCGTGTCACAGGGGTTGACTCGCACCCGGGGGTACCCGTGACCCCTCGTTGTTATTTTTGGAATAGTTCAGTCCAGTCCAGTCCGAAAGGTCATACTCGGATCGACTCGCCGTGGTCACCTCCCTAGTTTGAGTACGACTCCCTACTACCAAGAGTAGATAAACAAGAGTGTGCAACTCCGGATCTCTCCTGCACAATCTGCAGATACCCCCGCCCACGGCGGAATTTTTTGTTGACGTCACCTTTTTTCAGAGAAACGCGCAGTTTGCCGCAGAGCAGTGTGAGAGCACGTGCTGGACACCGACCTTGTACTAGTTGTAGTGTAAAGCCCGGCCAAGAGCACGAGGGAAAACTTTCCGAAAGACTCGCAGCGCGTGCGTCGTCGAAAAGATTACGTCAACAAAAAATTCCGCCGTGGGCCAACCCATCCGCGAGTTGCACACTCTTGTTTATCTACTCTTGCTACTACTATACTGGTACTGACAGACTACAAAATTTTTGTAGACAGAGCGTGCTTGATTTGATTTCTTACAGCGCGAAGCAACATATTAGGGAAGGTCAAAGGTCGAAAGGTCGCAAGGTCGAAAAATTATTCCCGAAATGACGTCAACGGTCCGAACATTCCCGAAATGACGTCAAACGGTCCTGAAACTCCCGAAATGACGTCAAACGGACCTGATGGCCTGATTATGCCCGCGGCGGGAAGATCGCCTATTGGCCATGGCCCCGGCAACGATCACGTGTCATGTAAGAACACTGAGATCAGATCCAAATGTGTACGAATGACGGAATGGCACCAAAAAAGACTTACACACGGTACTAAGGCCTCATTTACACGACAACGATTGAAAAACGTTTTTCAATCGTTTTCGAAACGTTTTTGCTGTTTACACGAAAACGATAATCGCGTACACTGCAACACGTTTTTCGGCGCGCAATGGTCACGTGCAAGAAGTTGGCCTGGCGGAGGCTGGCGGTGGCATGTTTTGAGTACAGGGCTCGTACTAGAAAAACGTTTTTGCCGTTTACACGAGAACGAAACGGAACGAAAACGATTGAAAAACACTTTGAAGGCCGTTTTTCGTCTGAAACGTTTTTGAAACGTTTTTCAGCGTTGTCGTGTAAACGCTCTTATCAAAATCTGTGGAAGCGTATTCTTTTGAAAACGTTTTTGACAAAAACGTTTTTCAATCGTTGTCGTGTAAACGAGGCCTAATATACGGGTTCTTTGGGTTTGCAGATGGCCATATATGGACACATATACCGTACATGCACATAGCACACAACCAGCTATGCATGCTATGCATTATATGGTACGGTATTATTTTCATCAAAGCCGACGCCACCAAGCTTTGCAAGGCAAGAGGAAAGCAGAAGTTGTTTTTCTTTTCTTGTGAGAAGTGGTTTCTCCTCTATTAGACCTTCGCTGCCCACAGCGTCTTGCCTCGAGGATGGCGTCCTTGCACCTTCCCATGTCCATGCTGCTGCTGGTTGTGGCCGTTGCTCTCCTGTCCACCGGTAAGGCAGTGGGTGTTTCCGACATTATAGAGGAGGGTCGTTTCAGTTTCCGTCGATGTAGAATTCAGCAAGTCTGGGTTCTGTTGGTCCGGAGAAGACTGCTATACCTCCAGGAGAGAGGGAGGGAGGGAGAGAGAGAGAGAGAGAGAGAGAGAGAGAGAGAGAGAGAGAGAGAGAGAGAGAGAGAGAGAGAGAGAGAGAGAGAGAGAGAGAGAGAGAGAGAGAGAGAGAAGAGAGAGAGTGCGTGTTGCTGTACATGAATATTCGAAACCGGGGATGAAGTCCAAAAGAGCTACTCCCTATAAGTCCCTTGTGACGAAATCATTATAGGATCAAACGAGACCAAGCGGAGCGTCTTTCGTGAATGAATTGAAGTCTCCGGCCCAAGTCACATGATCAACCTACCTGTACATGAGTGCTTGGTCATACCACGTACTAATCACTTGTGTTCAGTCATGATGGCCTACCAGTTTCCTTCAGGGCTAGAGTAGATTTTGAACAACCTTTACAAGGGACCTTGACACTCATGGAGCTTAGCAGGCACCTGTACGTGTATATTGGAGAGCTCAGAGCTGAAAGGGGGGGGGGGGGGGATAAGAAAAGCGGTTGAATGGTGTAGTCCCGGCACAAGTTGCTACGTCTAACATAGCTTGTTCACTACAGGTGCGTAGCACCGCTGTTGGAGGTGGTCCGAGCGGAGCTTCCGGAGGGGGTCTCCCCCAGGAAAAAATTGAAATTAGGGTGCAAAATCCTGCATTCTGGTCGTGGTCGGAAGAAAAGTGGTCGGGCCAAAACCGGACCGGCTGCTACGCTCCTGCGCTATCGTCGCTTCAGTGTGTGCGGGTATGTGGAAGTATGTGTGTGTGTGTGTGTGTGTGTGTGTGTGTGTGTGTGTGTGTGTGTGTGTGTGTGTGTGTGTGTGTGTGTGTGTGTGTGTGTGTGTGGTGTGTGTGTGTGTGTGTGTGTGTGTGAGTGTGTGTGTGTGGTGTGTGTGTGTGTAATATGTGTGTGTGTGTGGTGTGTGTGTGTGTGTGTGTGTGTGTATGTGTGTGTGCATGTGTGTGTGCACGTGTGTGTGTGTGTGTGAGAGAGAGAGAGAGAGAGAGAGAGAGAGAGAGAGAGAGAGAGCGAGAGACATACATACATACATACATACAGACAGACAGACAGACAGACAGACAGAGAGGCAGACAGACAGAGAGGCAGACAGACAGAGAGGCAGACAGACAGAGAGGCAGACAGACAGAGAGGCAGACAGACAGAGAGAGAGAGAGACAGAGAGAGACAGAGACGCAGAGGGGGAGAGAGTGTGTGCGTGTGTGGGGGGGGGGGGGGGAGAGAGACATGTGCGCGTGTGGTGTACGTGTGTGTGTGTGTGTGTGTGTGTGTGTGTGTGTGTGTGTGTGTGTGTGTGTGTGTGTGTGTGTGTGTGTGTGTGTAAGGGGAAGGGGGCATAGTGAAGAGTACATGGTATATATGTGTGTGTTTGTGTCCGTTACAGTGTGTTGGTTTCCTTGCTATCTTGTTCAGATGCTCAGCAGCTGCCCAAGCTGCCCAACCTACCCACACTGTCGAAATCACTCAAGGACAACACAAACGATCCAAATCAGGCTAAGGCACGCGAAGCAATCAAAAACACACTGAGCAAATTTGGAGACATATCCAAGCTGTTGAGAAGTGCCCCCAAATCCCATCCCTCTAAATCTGGATCGCATCCAGTGCCAACACTGTACAACCAAGCCTCTGGATCTTCTGTCTTGTAAGTACACACTGTGTGTGTGTGTGTGTGTGCGCGTGTGTGTGTGTGTTTGTGTGTGTGCGTGTGTGTGTGTGTGTGTGTGTGCGCGGGTGTGCGTGTTTGGGTGTGTGTGTGTGGGTGTGTGTGTGTATGTGTGCGTGTGTGTGTGTGTGCGTGTGTGTGTGTGTGTGTGTGTGTGCGCGCGCGTGTGTGTGTTTGTGTTTGTGGGTTTGTAGTATTGTAGTTATTGCAGATTAACGGGTGCACACTGGTGCGTGCTACCACTCACTATGCTACAGTAAAACCTGTCAAGGCGACCACTCGGATAAGGTGACCACCTGTCCCAGAAGACCACTGCAACCAGGACCAGGGGATGCTATTTCCAGTCAAATGACACTAGATAGGGAGACCACCTGGTAACAGAGACCACATTTTGAAGGTCCCTTGAGCGGTCGTCTTAGACAGGTTTCACTGTACTCAAACCTCCTGCATTGCTACTGCATGCTCATGTTGCACTGCACGCTGGCGCTATCGCTGCATGCCTGTTCATACGTAGCCCACATCGGCGCGTTGGCCGTGGTCACGTGCACCGCAAGTCACGGCAACCATGCCGACCAAACAGTATGGCGCCTGCAACATGGGGCTTCCTTCGACGTGGCGTTCGCGCGACATGCCAAAGTTCTTCTTTTCTGTTTCGATCCGTAGTGTGTCTGTCAAGAAACTTTTCCGCGGGCTTTGCACAGTCGACCTACACCCGAAAGGAAACTTACCTGCAAAATTTGAGCGAAATTGGATAGATCGACTTATCACAATTTTTCTGGTTTTCTCATGCTCTCTTAAAACTCGGAGTCACGATAACAATACCGTAAAGTACCACCAGAGCGCCCCGTCTCGCGAGAGCGCCCCACCTTGATTTTACAGCCAAGGGAAGACAATCGTATGGCAGAATGCTACTAAGTTTGTACGGTGTGAGAACCTTCGTGTACTAAGGTCACGCTTGTCATGTTTTATGTGGAGCTCGCATCCGCTTGAAAGTAAACTGGATACGGATTGACTGCAATATGTGTACAAGGTCCGTGTCGTATGACCTACAGACAGGAACCACCTCCACAAGACGACCCCGAAAGGACGAGATGGTGGGGCGCTCTGGCAGTACTTTACGGTAATATTATTAATTTTATACAAAAGAGAAAGGACCAAGGAACTACAAGTTACACTATAATGTCCACTAACACCACCAGTTACTTTACAATCAGCTCATGTGATGATAACATTGCACGACACTGACCGACGGTACTGCTGTTCTACAACTAACTAGCTAACAGCTCTAGCACATCTTGGATGCGCACTCCAACAGCCTTCCAACTTGGAAGGTTCTAAGTTATAGAAATAACATAAGGAGGGGAAGGCGAGCGCAACCAAGATAAGCAAGGTAACTTGTAGTTCCTTGATCCTTTCTCTTTTTTATTCATTAATCCTTGGCTCTCCATCCGAATAATGTTGTTGGTCTCTATTGTTCTGCCTTATATAGTACACTCTGCCCTTATTAGGGGATCGAGCACTACTTGCAGCAAGGACCTGAAACACATTGTCTATTTATTTATCGATCTTTCTACAGTATCTATCTCCGTATCTGTCTATCTCCCTTTCTTTTTCTCTCGCTGTCTCTGTCTGTATATCTATCTTCATCGCTATTTCAATTATTTCAATTATGCTGTCTGAGTGTTTCACACGAAACTCTGAGTAACGGCGGAAAAAGATTTGTTTGCTTCATTGCTGTGTGATCATTGTATTCATCTCTCTCTCTCTCTCTCTCTCTCTCTCTCTCTCTCTCTCTCTCTCTCTCTCTCTCTCTCTCTCTCTCTCTCTCTCTCTCTCTCTCTCTCTCTCTCTCTCTCTCTCTCTCTCTCTCTCTCTCTCTCTCTCCCTCCCTCCCTCCCTCCTCTCTCTCTCTCTCTCTCTCTCTCTCTCTCTCTCTCTCTCTCTCTCTCTCTCTCTCTCTCTCCTCTCTCTCTCTCTCTCTCTCTCTCTCTCTCTCTCTCTCTCTCTCTCTCCCTCTCTCTCTCTCTCTCTCTCTCTCTCTCTTGTTGTGCTTCCAGCAACACACTTGCCAAGAGTCTGAACATTGATGTCAGCAAGCTCTCCGCTTCTTGCCGTCGTGACGCGGGCACTGCCAATGCCCAGTGTTTTTCCGAAATAAGCTCTTGCATTAAGGCGCACAATCTCGGTGCTGCTGCGTGCGGAAACGTAAGCAGCGCGTGTCATGACCATTGTGCCGTACCTTCTGTAGTACTTGTGCACAGTGCTGTCGGGCGCCGAAGAACTGGGGAGTCAGCCTCCTAGCCTAGGCCGCTCTTATTTTTCGTGCACTACAGTCTATGCACAGTTGAGTCACCGTGTATACATTGGCGTGCTGTGCTTGGTGAAATTCTGGCCTGGCCGTTCTTCGGCGCTCGGTTTTTCAGCGCGCGGCAGTGCTGTATTGCACAATGCTCCTCCCTATGTCACCCAAACGTTGATCGGCCAAGAAGCCCTCGATGCGTGCGTTTTTGAATAGTGTGTGTGAATTCCGTTGTTGCCTAGGGCGCGTTTGGTTGGTACAACCTAGAACAGGATTCACCAGAACAGTGCGTTTGGTTGGGACTGCACCTGTTCTGGGTCGGCCGGAATATGTTCTGCTTGCTCCGGCCTCGAGGCCAGAGCAGACCGAGCAGTTTCACTTTTTTTTACAGTGAAACCTGGCGGGAACATCGATTTTGGTCCCAAATGATCACGTGCATACGCTTTTGGGTTGGACTCGTTGTACCGTACAAATTGACCATGGTGACCTGTACACATTTTGACAAATACACCGCGTTTGGCAACCTTTTCACAAAAATGTGCTCTGTTTCTGGAGTACCGCTTGGTGAGCATGAGGCTGCTCCATGTGCACCAGCTGTTCAATCCTATTCTAGATCGTGCCAACCAAACACACCCCTAGACCTTGAGTCAAACACAGTTCACCAATAGTGACCACGCCATCTTTGATGCCATGAATCCTCTCCTGCACCGTGTCCTCACCCTCTTACGCATGTGTGCTGAGCCCATCTGTAAGAGCATTCAAATCCACTCAGGGGGGTTGGGGATTTCCCCGGGGGTGTCGGCCGCTGCGCGGTTCAATATCCAATTGAGTCATCTTCCAAAATTCCTTTTTAGTCTCTTTCTCCTCTCCCGGGGAGACGGACGTGGCCAATTTTGGCAGTGAGCAAGTACATGTGCAGCACAGTGTGTGTGTGTGTGTGTGTGTGTGTGTGTGTGTGTGTGTGTGTGTGTGTGCGCGCGTTTGGCTGCGACGGATACACATTTCTTTCAGTTCTACACAGATATGTATGTGTAGTTACAGTGTCTGCTCTAGGATTGTAGGACAGCCGGGTACACGTGTACCTGGCGCAACCATTTCAACCGGGTCGGAGCCGGGTACACGTGTACCTGGCGCTGTCTCACCAGCCGAGGCACATGCTTTAACTGGTTGGTTGGTTTATTTTAATTCGGACAATAAACGGGAACTAGGTCCAATGATATAAAGGCGAATGGATAAGCCGCATTTAGAAAAGAGAGGGCAGGAATTAGAAAATTACGAAAGAAGAAGAAGTATCTGACACATGCAAGCCATGTGGTCAGTCCTTTCAAAGTTCGAAAGTGTAAAGTACCAACCGGGTCACAGGTGACCCGGTACTATATTTTCAACCGGGTCCAAGCGCCGCCCAACCGGGTGGATTACCCGGCTCACCCGGCGCTGGAGCAGACACTGAGTTACAACCACTGCCCTGCAAGACTGGCTGTCCCAGTAGACCTGCATGTCACCATATGCTCCCAGCCAACGTCGCCTAATGCAATTTATCAAGAGTACATGAAACCCAGAGTGTGCGGCTTGGGGCTTTTTCTACTATGGGTGTCTGTCACGGCGGAATTCCGTGATTACATCATATCAGGGGCAGATCTGAGGCGAGAAGTGGTGCAGTGCATACAACTGAGCTGCAGTGGTGCAGAAAGAGACTTGCTTGAATCCTGCTTGTACGCACGACATCACTAAAATGATGTAATCGCGGAATTTCTCCGTGACAGCAACCCATCCGAGTTGCGCACTCTGGTTCTCATGTACTCTTGAAGTTATTGATAGCATGCACAGTAGGGGAGTTCGCGGTGCATGGGGTTACGGCTGCAGAGGGGCCTGCTCTATGCCATGCTTCAATAGTTGCCTCTATGTGTGTGTGTTTGCGTGTGTGTGTGCGTGTGTGCGTGCGTGTGTGTGCGTGCGTGCGTAGGTGATGACGCACTGCACCAAGCGGTGCACCGGCAACACGAACTGCACGGTGGCCCTGCACCTGCTGGTCACCACGCCGCTCCATCTGAAGGCTGGCGTGTGCATGCCAGCAAGCTGTGGCGGTGCACACCTTCGCAGCACGCTCATCGCTCTGAACAAGGCAATCTACGCCAAGGCCTCGGCGATTGCGCTGCAGAAGACGCTTGTCTACAACCCGATCGAGAAGTCGGTGATGACCTGCTCCCGTAAGTGCTGTCTACGCGCGTGTGCTACCTCTTCTTCTTTTGTAGTTGTGAAAGAAAGTCCTCCGACTCTGTAGAGTGCTCAATATGTACTCGAATAGAGCTATCGTACACACGGCACACAGCACCAGGCATCATTCGTTGCAACTACTGTAAAGCGACAAACTTTCGCGGCGGGCAAATTTAGCGTTTTCATAAATTGGGCTGGTTCACGATGAGAAACTTTTGCGATTCTATCTCTTCAGTCGGATCTTGTACTGTCTACAATCAACGTACGGAGAGGTTTGCGGCGATTTATATTTGCGAGTGTGTGATGGTCGCGAAAATAGCGAAATTTAATCTCTAGCGAAAGTTTCTCACTTTACAGTAGTAGCTAGGGAACTTCCTGCCCACAGGCGATCAGTTGTCCGAACGGCATGAACCTATTAGTTACAACGAATGATGTGTGGTGCTCTGTGACGTGTATCTTCTACGTATACGTACTGTAAAACATGTTATTATAACGAGTCGCAAATTTAACGATTGTCCAAAATTCATAGGTTAACGAGAAGATAATGTTAACGATCTTGCAGTATTCTGCCATATCCACACACAGCATATATGAAGCAGTACGGCCTCAACGGATCTTATTATAACGAAGAAATGTCATCCGGTAAAACGTTAGATTTGCTTCCTCGTTATATATACATGTCTTACAGTATTCTGTTTCTGGTATACCCGCTTTCACCCGGCAGTATCGATTAGCCAAGCCATACATTACACTCGTTTCCCTACCCTTCTTCTCTTCCTTCTCTTTCCTTCAACAGGAGAGCCCCTCGATAGGCGTCCGCAGCCTTTGGACAATCCTTTTAAGAAAAAAATCAATTAATCAATCTCTGCATGGCTGTCTCCAGTTTGGCACTCATTGGCTAGCTCTTCTAGTGCGTGCGTTGGATTTGGCGCGCTCGTGTGCCGTAAAAAAACTATTTTACGCATGCCTGACAAACCTTTAGCATGTACATGTACGGCAGGTGAAAGCTTTGTATGCCATGCATGTGGCAAGGTTGTCTCTCTCTCTCTCTCTCTCTCTCTCTCTCTCTCTCTCTCTCTCTCTCTCTCTCTCTCTCTCTCTCTCTCTCTCTCTCTCTCTCTCTCTCTCTCTCTCTCTCTCTGTGCTGCCCTTGCTCTGTAGATGGCAGCAGCAGTTGCGATAGCTACGCGTGTACGTTTGCATCCATCGGCTCCAGCACCGCCGCAGGTCACGCCGGCCAGAACTCCACTCTAAATAAAGCCAAACAACAACAACAACAGCACAAGACTCAGAACGCGCACGGGAGTGGCGGTCACAGAGCTCACGGTGCTGCTCCCGATGGTGTGCGTACTGCTCGTCCATACCCCGGCCGCGCCGTTACACACAAGCCAGCACAGCAGAAGTACCCAGGTAAGGTACTGATCCGACCATATAGTATTTAGTACTGTAAGACATGTTATTATAACTAGTGTCAAAAGTACATAGATGTACTCTTGCCATAACCTACTGTAGTCGCAAATTTAACGATTCTCCAAAATCCATAAGGGGCCATCCGGAATTATCGATAATTTCACGAAACGAAAAAGTTTAGTTATGACCCTCCCCCCACCCACCCACCCCCATGAACGAAAAATATATTGACTTGTTAGCTAGAATGTACTGATGTTTCAGCTATCAATATTTTTCATAACGAAACTCTCCTCCTCCCACCCACCATGAACGAAACCTTTTCTCTTCGTGAAAAAGATCGATAATTACGGATGGCCCCCTCGGGACGTTTCGCATGTACTGTAAGACATGTTATTATAACGAGTCGCAAATTTAACGATTGTCCAAAATTCATAGGTTAACGAGAAGATATGTTAACGATCTTGCAGTATTCTGCCATATCCACACACAGCATATATGAAGCAGTACGGCCGCAACGGATCTTATTATAACGAAGAAATGTCATCCGTTAAAACGTTAGATTTGCTTCCTCGTTATATATACATGTCTTACAGTATGAGGCCACCACGATGCCTGCTACTGCCATTCGAAAATTCGAAAAGAGGCTAAAGCCAATGAGTTCTTTTAGACTGATGCGTCGTCAAGTCCCATCAACACAGTTTCTACAGTGTAGACTAGACTCTCTCCACCACTTGCGTTCGTGTAATCGTGATAGCAGGCGAGACGTCACGGGCCGTGAAAGTAATGAAGGATTCCGATTGTCCGGGGCTACTTCAAATCATCGCAGATATGCAGCCCAGAGACCCGTGCAGCCGGCCGTAAAGTAATCCAATGTGGCACACACGGGGGAGAGTGTCTTTGTGGATACAAACGCATACATCATCACAGGTTCATCGGCAGCGAGGTTTAAATACGGTATTAGATCAGAACCAGGGATAACACCCATACGGTTCAAATGGTCGCAAGACCGGCGGAGCTCTGCAAACCGTGGATGGTTGTTGTAAGGAGCACTGTTGTCAACACACTGCGGCCTCCGCCTTGTAACAATAGATGACGTTTTCACGTGACCAGCATGTGACACTTGTCGTACCAAAGCGTGTGCCACGCGCTGGAAGAGACCGGGAAATTCAAAAACAATGCTTGAATACCGTATTTTCCCGAATATAAGTCGACCTTCTGTGCGCCAGAAATTTCGCCAAAAGCCGGGAGTCGACTTACAAACGGAACTCGACTTACATACGGGAATCTGGCACAAAAAATGAAGTGACTGGAGTATCCGTACAAAAATGCACTACCGTACGAACCATGTGAAGTTGCACAGTGGCAGTTAACATGGAATGAACATTAGATGACACTGGTTTTGTTCAGATTTTGTCTTACTGGCATGATATGCGCTCTCCTCGTGGAGAATTCATCATTCTGTATGTGTGGGTGTCATGGAGCTATAAAAACTTTTTTTCATGAAATTGACTCCTGGATTTAGGGTGGTCGACTTAGATTCGAAGTCGACTTATATTCGGGAAAATACGGTATGCTGATGCCGTACATACGACGATAAGGTACAAAAACAAGTTGTACACCGGAGATGAAGCGCGAAAACGACAAGCGTGGCTTTCTACAGGGATGCACTGGTTGCTGAAAACCTGCAACGCCCATTTTGCATTCTGGGCGCGTCGCCATGCCGATTTCTACTGCAATGCCGTTTGTACGTGATTTTGTACCTTGTGTAGTTACAGCCTAAACAATCAGCTCATGCGATACTAACATCCTTGGTCCTTTTCTTTTCTATAATTTGTTCCTTGGCTCTCCGGCCGAGTCCATTCTTGCACACTATCTCGTAACATTAGAGAGGTTCCGGAGTACGATTTTCCGTGCCAAAATCCGTAGAGGCACTACGGATTTTTTATACGTCGTTTTCGAGCAGTGAAATGTTCCGGAGTACAGAACTTCTGTGCTCGCCGTCATTGCCTAGGTTACGATCGCAAACACGTCACATTCCTGCCCTATGCTTTTTTTATTTTGAAAATTTGTACCGAAATCAAAACTTCCCGCGGAAAATCGATGTTTCTCGTACCAAATTTGTACGCGAACAAAAACTTTCTGCACCCGATGACTCAACATCTCCATACGAAACATGGTTCGTATGAAAGCCAGTCCACACAGATTCTCCGCGCCGAAAAATCGTATGGAGCACGCCACGAAAAAATCCGTGGCGCCCATACGGATTTTGGCACGGAAAATCGTACGCCGGAACCTCTCTATTGCTATTCTTGATTTAAAATCATTCACAGTCATTGTGTGGGACATGGCGCTCGTGGTGATGAGTGTGTGTGTGTGTTTTGGGGGGGGGGGTAATGGGTGAGGGTGGGGAGGGGTTGATAATGAGTGAGGGTGGGGGGGGGGGGGGTGATAATGGGTGAGGGTGGTGGTGATGTTGACCAGGGTAATTAGTAAGGCCACTACTTACTATGGGGTCGGTGCTTATGCTCGAATTTGTTTCTGCTACTATGCTTGTTGCAATGCAATGCAGGCCTAAACAGCCGCTCTCAGCTTGTCTGTGACGAGAGCCAGGTGTGCGGTAAATGTCACAGCGACAGCGTGTGCTGTCACATCGGCGACTTCAAGATCGGCTGCACATCCGAAGCGTAAGTTACGAGAACCGTTTCAAGACATGCAGAGAGACTGGCAAACCGAAGGACACTGCACATCATTATGTCATATACAGTTGCGCTCACTGAAATCCGACCCAACGTGCAAAGCTGGCGCCCTCAGCTTCCACGACCCTTGACGCCCTCGAAATGGAATGAATGCGGCTGGACGTACACATGTACACATACAATGATGTAATCGGAACTGGTCCAGGGCGCCAGCTTTGCACTTCGGGTCGGATTTCAGTGAGCGCTACTGTATATACCGTAATGTCTTGTGTAGAAATCTGTCTCGCATAGAAGACTGTTTTGGTTACATAAGCTTGATCTTCAGAGAATAACATCAGCATGTCTGCCCAAGGCTTTGCCTGCAGTGGCAGACCAGTGTTTATGATATTACTGCACGCACACAGACACACATACACACCACATGCACACGCGCGCGCGCGCGCGCGCGCACACACACACACGCACGCACACACACACATGCACACACACACACACACGCACGCATACACACACACACACACCTCCAACCTTTGCTATCGCCATTGCTATTGTCCTGCAGGGTGGCGGAGCTGCTGGGCGAGTTGTTCGAGCAGGACCTTAGCCAGGTCACCGCGCAATGCCAAGTGGAGCTGCTTGTCGAGAAGCGACAGTGCATCAAGACCTACGAGCAGTGCATCACGCAGGCCGAGGGACTGCTCCCTCTCGCCGCCTCCCAGGCCAGGCTACTCGGCAAGGCGCCGAGCGCGGCGTTGCTGGTCTCACGTCTAGGAGCGTGCACCAAGCTGGGACAATGCCTGACGGAGACCGGGCAAGGTGATGCGGCCGTCGGTACGTGTTTGTTGAACAGCATGTGTCTAGTAGTTCTCGACCTCGTCGGGACATTGTGCTCTCAATGACAGCTAGTACAGCTAGTACGGTAGGGTCGCGCCCAAGAACGTTGTTTCCAAGGGGCTAGCCCAGGACGTTCTTATTTTGTCAGCAATCTGACTGCGTTCTTATAAGGCCACACGTTTTTATTTCTACGTTTCTCGTCACCTGAAAATCTAAAAACGTATGCGAGAGGTGGAAAAAAATAAAAATGACCGAAGAATAAAAAAAGTTTATTAGACCTTTGTTCACACTAAAATCCACCCATACACAATGCAAAATAGCATCCATAGTTAGCAACTAGTATGTGATAGGAGCTTCTGTCACAATCTGTGCATGTGCAGCTAGATTGTGCACAACAAATGCCGACCTCGCATCATGTGTCGCACAGGCCAGGCCACATTATGTACATGTGCATGAGTGTGCTGGTCCCCACATGCACAGTCAGTGCAGCACAGTTTTTTTCAGTTTTCTTCCAGACTCCTGAATCGTATGCGCGCGGGTGACGAGAAACATAGAAATAAAAACGTGTGGCCTAACACGTTCTTAGAAACAATCCATACTGAATCATGTGTGTCCCACAAGCTCCCAGAAACTCAACGCCGCCGCTCTTAACTTTAGGCCGTGGCGTTCTTAGTATTTCAGGCTGGACGTTCTTGGGCTCCACGTTCTTCGGCACGCGACTCTACTGTAGTCCAACCCCCATGAATAGAGTAATACTCCTTGGCTTGTCAGTTTCCACCCGAGTCTATCTAGCAAAGTAGACCCTATGGAGAAATAACACAAAATTTTCGCAAAACTCGAAAAAATCCAATGCTTTTCAGACTGGCAAAATGGAAGATGATGCCCAAACGCCCCACTAATAAATGGTCATTTCTTGCCCCATACATCTATAGAGAATTGCTGAAGACAAAAAAAACAGACCAATCTTCGGGCCAATTTTTTTGGTATTGAGCTACCTTTTAAGAGGTTTAGAATTAGACTACAAAAGGTCAGACATTGCATCCAGAGTATCTTGTACAGCTACACTTTCATATGCACTGCATGCGCGGCCGAACACCTCCATATCTGTGCTGTGCCCAGCACTCTGACTTATTTGTGTGTGTGTGTGTGTGTGTGTGTGTGTGTGTGTGTGTGCGTGTGTGTGTGTTTGTGCATGTTTGTGTTTGTGTGTTTGTGTGTGTGTGTGTGTGTGTTTGTGTGTGTCTGTGTACATGCATGTGTATGCGTGCGCGTGTTTTCTGCCGGCCACGCTCCATTCTTTCACCGCCAATCCCATACTTCACCCTGTTGGGCAACTGCTACGACGACTAAACACTGCGTACGCATGCACGTAGGCCCGCATGTGCCGGGCACGTTCCGCTCCGGATCATGCAACACCTCGGTGACGTACTACGCTGCCGAGTCGTCGCGTCCGAGCACGTACAATGCGTCGCTCATGCTGCCGCGCTCCTGTCAGACGCACGGCAACCTGAACGTGATTGCCCAGGCCGTCGGCCGCATCATCTGCTCGCCGCTCTGCCTCCTGGCCGAACAGCTGGAGGCGCTTGGTATTGACTCTAGCGAGCTGCCCGCCGGTCTCGATCTCAGCCAGTGCCCAGTGGACCGTGTCAGCTTCCACTGCACTAGCCAAGGTCAGTGAACTGTGCAAGGGACCGGAAACTCTACTGGGGGAGGGGAGTAGAGGCTGCATTAAAAGTCATTCCTGGCTTTCTAGACTGGCCATGCCCGTACGCTCTGTACAGTGCTAAACCAGTTTTTGACAAAATTACCTGCCTTGCCCGGTGCCCGTGTACACTGTGGACCTAGCTGTACCGGTGAGGCGTGGTGGTGCCGGTGCTGGCGTTGTTGGCTGCTGGTTGTGGTGGTGGTACTGTTGTTATTGTTGTTGTTGTTGTTGTTGTTGTTGTTGTTGTTGTTGTTGTTGTTGTTGTTGTTGTTGTTGTTGTTGTTGTTTCAAATCTTTATTCTCGCGATAGCCAGTGGCCAAATAAGAGAAAAATATAGTTGTTGTTGTTTCGAATCTTTATTCTCACGATAGCCAGTGGCCAATAAGAGATAATAGTTTGAGAGAGGAGAACATATAGTGAAGGGGATATCTGGGATTTGAAGAGAGTACGAGAAGGGATTTCGCGAAGCTGGGTGGGCAAGCAATTATAGTAATGAAGGGCCTTGTACAGGGGAGAATGGAGACAGCGATCAGTCCTCGGAGTTGGGAAGTGCCAAGTACGAGAGCGACGTAAATTGTTGTTGTTGTTGTTGTTTTTGAATTCTTATTCTCACTTGTTGTTGTTGTTGTTGTTGTTGTTGTTGTTGTTGTTGTTGTTGTTGTTGTTGTTGTTGTCTTATTCCACTTGTGCTGGTACTGGTGCTGACGGTCAACGTTCTCCCTTTCCCCGTGCTGTAGGCAAAACCAGCGCCAGCACTCACTACCCGCAGGTCGAGTCCTGCCCTTCGCTGGAGCCTCTGCTCGAGCCATTCTTCCCAGAGCCAGTCGACAATAACCTGAACAAGGTGAAGGTCAGCGTGTGGGAGGACAAGTGGTTCATCGTTGGCGTGGTAACCAGCGGCATCGTCGGCTTCGGTCTGCTCGTCATGCTGCTCCGCTGGCGCATGACCGTTACACGCCGTCGCCAAGCCCAGACGTTCACGTACGCAACGCTCAACGACGACATGGTCGTCAGTGCCGTCGAGTAAGGGCCCCGCTTTCGTTTGCCGTGACGATGACGGCGTTGTGTCCGTGCAGCAGCAGAACGGCGCAACCTTGTCTGTGCACGTGCCTGCTCTCGTCTGTGCACGTGCTGGAACATGCGTGTCTGTTGGTTGCGTGAGGCAAGTACTGTCCTCTAGTCCTGTGACTCGGGCGGTGGGTAAGGTATGTGTGAACAACTGCTCTTGCTTTCCGCCTGCGAACTGGCCTTGGCGTGAACATTCTGCTACATGCATCATGCGAGCAACACAGTGTGTGTGTGTGTGTGTGTGTGTGTGTGTGTGTGTGTGTGTGTGCGTGCGTGCGTGTGTGTGTGTGGGCATGTGTGCCTTGATACGGTTCTTCACTATTGCTTTAGTACATTCGTGCAGGTCACTGCTGTATTGGCCGACACAGCAGCAGGGTTGGCGTTGCTCACATATGGACACCATGCTGACCACTGTACAGACCTGAATAGCCGTCGGCAGTAGAAACGGTTGTTTTGTCAGATCAAGGTTGCCTGCTCTGTTTTTTTTGTTTTTTAGTTTTTTTAGTTTTCGTACAAGTAATTCCATTGGTTGACCGTTGTTGTGTGTGTGTGTGCGTGTGTGTGTGTGTGCACGCATGTGTGTGGTGTGTGTGTACATTGTATGTGCCACTTAGCCCAGTTGAACTTTGAATTCATGACTCACGCTAGTCTGGTCCTGGCTATGCCGTCAATTTGCTTTCGTCGATAGCAACAAGGGTAAACCGCGGTGATGTGTTTTCTTTGGTTTCCTTTATTTCTGTTCCCCCCATTGTCATGCACTCATTCAAGTCATTCTACCTTGAGTCACTGTACATTGGACATTTACTAGCACTGGTGATACATTTGAACGGCCTGATCGATACCGATGCTTGCCGTGTGGGTAGCTCTCCATATCCATACACAGTGTGTGCATCGGACACTCCCATCCCACGTCCTGAGCATGCGTGGGGTGTTGAGTTGATTGCATGCATGCTGCGAGTCTAGGTTATTGACCGGTTGCACGGTAGAGTGGCACGCCCAAGGCCAAGAATGTTGGGTCCGATTGGCTAGACTGGGACGTTCTTACTTTTCATCAATATGGCTGCGTTCTTTAAAAGGGGAAGTTAAGGCAAAAATTAAAATTTCACCAGTTGTAGTCTTCGGGGTGCTGAGTCGAATGGTCGTGGTCCGAGGAAGCTGAGACGCTCCCTTCCTACTTGAATCCCAATCGAACTCGCGCACTTCCACCGAAACTGGGTGACTGCGCCCTACTACAGTCTGTTTCAAAAAGATTAGCAATCAAGTTTGGGTCTTAAAAAGTATGAGGATACGGGAAATTTGGACAACAAAGTACATAAAACGGCTTGCTAGGGCACGGCAAATTGTTCTGTGAATGTTTCGGAACAATTGGACCAACCGTTAAGGAGTTAGTATTTCGCCAGGTTTCTGGCCTTTTCCCATGGTTTATATGTTGCCCTGGAAGCCAGTATCGATTTGTTATCAAAACCCACGATTTATCCCCTCCTTTTTGGCCTTGTGGTCATGCATGCTGTCTGCTGACCATGAAGTTGTGAGTTCAAATCCCAACAAATCTTCAAGTCAAACATTTTTCTTCATTTTTCATTGTTTTGGTAATCACGCTGGTACAAGACAAAGAAGGACGGCTGCGCCAAGCGACTTATTGTTGGAGCTCGCGTTTCCTGCCGAACTGACTGACACTTTACTGGCTCACGCCATTTGAAGTTATGAAAATACACACAACACTGAAACCGTGTGAGTAAACACGGAAGTCATTGCGCTGTAGCTACGTGTTGTTGAGTGCACCGGCACATCGATGGATCAATTTCTGTTTGAGAATTATTTTAGTAATAGAAGGTCGCCAATTTATTTGAATTTAGGAGTCAACGCGTCTTCTATCAGCTTTCACAGGCGTCTGCTTTTCTCAAAATGTCATCGAAGTCACACGGATAGCTCTGCTACTTCAAGGCCTTGGGAATGAGTCTGTGTCAATGCCGTCACATCGTGAGAGTAAATTGCATCCGCGCCGCGGTAGCTCAAAGAATCTATTAATTTGGTCACAAAACGGACGCATCCGGCCGTCAAAATTTACCTCACTTTCGACATGTCCTCTCTGACTCCATATCGATGCGAGGAAGAACTCGTTTGTTGTAAACCAGACGAACATGTACGAGTACTGACGTCAGTGAATTGTCATTTTTCATGCTTTCGCGCGGACTATTTCTTCGAGTTCGCAGTGAGTTTTTCCAGGCAGCGCTCGAACGCTCATACGGTAAGACGGCAAACTCCCCGGGCGATCACAAGGATTGCTAATCTTTTTGAAACTGACTATAGATGGGGATTTGTATGCAAAATGTCACTAAAAGCGTCATTTCGTTCTTATAAAAGCACGGATGACCGCGATTGGCCCATATGTTGTAGTCTTTTGGACGCTGAGTCGACTGGTTTTGGTCCGAAAAGGCTGCGAAGCGAGCGATGCAGCGTTCCTTCTTTATTCCCAATCGAACATGGTTGAACAAGCGGTCACGTGCTCCTGCGTACGCCAGTCACCTGGTCACCGTGCCTGCAGGGTACAACTTACTAGCCTGTTTGACCTTTTTTGGGTGCACTCCTGTCACTCGAGTTGAACCTTGGTGTGAAAGTTGTCGGACTTGACCTCCACGCGTACATTCATCGTCAAAAACGAAGTCCAGCCCGTGTGCTCGTCGATCGAGCCAACTGTTCGATGTACGGACGTCGGTGCACGCTTGCCTTCTGAAATACATAATCCTACACAGTTGCGAGGGCATGACCCTCGGTCATGTGAGTGATCTTGCCCGCGGTCGCGACGCCCTCGGGGCTACGCCCCTTGGGCGTCGCGACCTCGGGCAAGATCACTCACAGACCTCGGGCCTGATCAGAGCGTCATGCCCGATGCAACTGTGTTATGTAGGATTGCGGTTCAGACAAGGCCCACATATATGGAGATGTTCAAAGAGGAAAAAAGCCTTGGCAAAATGCCGCAATGTCACATTGTGTGCAATGATTATGTCCATCATAAACAGCTATTTGTTTGGTCAGGACTTTCCACTTTTGAGATGAAAGTATTCAAGTACAGTGAAGCCGACTGAAGGCAGTAGTAACGTTAGTAGTACCAGTAATATGATTGGTTGAATAAACCCGTTCTCCGAGTAAGATTGATGATTGTCAGAGTAAGGTTCGAATGCTAGTGCTGAGAAGCTACACTTGTTGAGGTCTGCTTCCCTTACGTGCGTTTCGCCGAGCAACATGCCCAGCTGCAAGGTTGGATGGCGTTTCTGGCCTCCCTACAGACGTTCAAGACGTTCAAGACAGTAGTGAGTAATTATTTTGGAGAAGCGAGACAAATTTTGAAGAGCTCGTCGGAGATGTTGACCAAGGCAAGGACTTCGAAAAATGGTAAGTACGCATGTGCGGCGCGGTGCTGTATGACTGCTGTTCTTGCCCGGATATGCGGGCAAGAACAGCAGTTGTACCGTATCGCGTACAGAATAAGCGGGCAAGATCTACTGATCTTGCCCGCTTATTCTGGCCGCTCATTGGCTGTAGCCTGGCAACAAGCACGTGCCATGTCTGAACCAGGTATTGTACTACTCCCTGTTCTGAACTCAGCTCAGACACTCGATGTGTACTTTGTACACAATGAGAACGCCAAAAAGGGACAAAATAAACAAAAGTCGACAGCAGTTTGTCGCACTGGTACTTCCTCCACGAAGCTCCAGCTCTTTGTTTTATTTGTGATTACGAAGGAGTGGAAGGATGTTTGTTTGCTGTTAGTGTGACACACATACCTCGTACTTGAAAATGATGTCGCTGTATCGAAGGTGGCGATGTTGCCCACCCGGCTCTGAAATGAAAGACTTCGGAGTTCGTCATCTGCATCTTCAGCAACATCGCCAGATGAATCGCCTTCACGTAACTACATTGCGTTCCTTTGGGGCTCGGGTTGGTGGTGTTATCGCCGGCCGGAGGAGTATTGTTTTCTGCATACGCACTCATCATCGTGTTGTTCCTCACACGAAAAGTTCAAAACAACGACGTACTTCCGTGCTCACAAAATAAAACTTAGATCCTCGCGGAAGAAGTCAAAAAGGTGAAAGCTCAGATGCTTTTTTCTGGTGTGCATCGACATCGGCATCAGTGGGGCCTCCCGCTGTCGATCCTGTTGACGGGCGGACAGGTCGGTGTGAATCCTGAACGGCAACCGAGCCTGTCGCGTAGGGGGATCTCGGCGGTGAGTCTCGCCTCGCCTGCATACATGGACATTGCAACATCATAATAATAAACAACATACATGTACTTTCCATTGGCATCAGTATTCCGAGTAAGATTTTCGTCGCTTGTGTGGTGTGTTTCTCCACCAATGAGCGCATACTATGATTATTTATCGCTGTTCTCACACTTTACCATTTTAGCAGCTTGCATATGCCATTGATATAATATATCAATGGCATATCAATCGCTTTCCACATATTATGTGGGAAGCGCGCGCTTGCGCCATTTCTGGTGTATAAGAATGATCATTCCTCCATTATCATCATTATCATCCTCTACTGATGAGCTCCGACAGGGAGCGAAACAGCTGTCGAGAGGCGTGGAGCAATATTATCTCTCAATGGAAGTGTCCTTGCTGGTGTCTGTATGGTTCGGCTGAAGAGCGCGTGGTTGTGATGAGTTGGGAATGCGATGAATTGAAAATATGGCCGAAAGCTCTGTCGCAATATTTAGTTCTGAAGTTGATTATAACAAAGAAACAAAAAATTAATATACAATGACTATAGGAGTTGACTACAAAATATAATGTAAAATGCGTGCGGGCTAGAGACAAAAGCAAGGCATGCAACAACAACAACAACTTATTGAATTTGATTGGCGATGGTGCCATCGTGAGAATAAAGAATTCAACAGCAACAGGAACAACAGCTACAACAAGTAGGCCACGGGCTATCGTGGGAATACAGCTGCGGTCGTCCCCGAAAATGGAGCTTCCGCCTATTTCAGCGAACGAAACAGTGGCTAGATCAGATGGAGAAAAGGCGGAAGCGTTTAACATTTTTTCATTTCGGAAAGCCAGAAATCCGTCTCCGGACCAACTGAAGCCGTGCCAACAAAGCCAAAAAACTACTGCACCAACTCCACAAGACACGTGGCACAATGAATGCTTCCAGCCTATTGTTAAAGGGGAAGTATACCCTAAAATCAAATTTTCACCAATTGTAGTCTTCGGGGTGCTGAGTCGAATGGTCTTGGTCCGAGGAAGCTGAGGCGCTCCCTTCCTACTTGAATCCCAATCGAACTCGCGCACTTCCACCGAAACTGGGTGACTGCGCCCTACTAGATGGGGATTTGTATGCAAAATGTCACTAAAAGCGCCATTTCGTTCTTATAAAAGCACGGATGACCGCGATTGGCCCATATGTTGTAGTCTTTTGGACGCTGAGTCGACTGGTTTTGGTCCGAAAAGGCTGCGATGCAGCGTTCCTCCTTTATTCCCAATCGAACATGGTTGAACAAGCGGTCACTTGCTCCTGCGTACACCAGTCACCTGGTCACCGTGCCTGCAGGGTACAACTTACTAGCCTGTTTGACCTTTTTTGGGTGCAGTCCTGTCACTCGAGTTGAACTCGAGTTGAACCTTGGTGTGAAAGTTGTCGCCTGCTGGCGCGGTGACCAAGTGATTTAGGCACCCAGGAGCACGTGACCGCTTGTTCAACCATGTTCGATTGGGAATAAAGGAGGAACGCTGCATCGCAGCCTTTTCGGACCAAAACCAGTCGACTCAGCGTCCAAAAGACTACAACATATGGGCCAATCGCGGTCATCCGTGCTTTTATAAGAACGAAATGGCGCTTTTAGGGC